GTTTTTTTTTGTTGTTGTTTTTATTGGGTTTTTCTTTTCCTGGGATATATGCATTTTGGAAAACATACTTGCTTGCTTAAAATGCTAAGCAGCTTCACAATTTCCTCACATAGGGAGGAAGTATAACTAATAGTCATCTTTTAAAAAGTGACAACTGGCACATGAGTAGCAACTGTGCCTCATGCAGTATAATTGCTGGTATTTCAAAAGGTGACTTTGTAAGCAGGGATGTTTATAAGGCACCCTGCTGTCTGCATGATATTTGAAATTTGCTATGAATTTGTGTGATTTTATTTTAAATTTTTGTTTGTTTTGAGCTTTTATCTTCTCTGTAAAAGCAACAGTTTGACATTAAAGCAGAGTTTGGCAGACAATTTAACTCTCAAGTAACAAAACTGGTATCATATAGTGTCTGATATCATAATAAAACAAATGAAACATGGAGATAAATTCTGAAAATTATTTTAAAATACCTACTTCTAAAATACTGTCTCCCTGTGAAAAAACAGCTATGCAAGAGAGAAGCATAAAATGAACTTCTACCAAATAATTTTTTTACTGAAATTTCCTCAAGTGATGCATTTAGATTACCTGCTGTCACCTCAAGCAGGTTTATAGGATCATGGACTAAGCCAGGTTAGAAGAAGCCTAAGGAGATCATCCAGTCCAGCCTCCTGACAAAACAGTCAGCTGTGAACATGGGGGTTTCAAAAAACAAATCTCTCAATTCCTTTTCTTTATATCTTAACCACCTCTTAGGACTGGAAGGCAGCCTACTCCTCATCAAGCTTCTGAAAACAATTACATATTAATTTCTGTTTCTTCTTTAGATACAAGGGTATTTATTTTAATATGAAGCCTTTTCCATCGAGCAGTGAACAAGGCAGGGAAAGAAAAGCCTCTCTTGGCAAATAAATACATCAGCACATAGAAGCAAGGATTTGTGGAGACAGTGGAAATGTGGACATCTGACTTGTACCAGTAAACTCCAGGGAAAAGAGGTAAAAAACAGTATTGCCCATCTATAGTTATAGCTTTGCCATATGGAATTACAGCGATGTAAGATCAGACTAAGTGAGCTCATAATCAGGCTTTTCAATCTAGTCAAAGGAGGTGTTGGGGAGAGGTAATGCTGACAAGTAACTAAAGTATAACTGAGGCAGCATCGTGAAAAAGAAGTAGCAGAAGAAATCAGAAAAAATATTTTTGCCCCCCACAAACCTCCCTCAAAACAATAATTTTACTTTCAGGTCTGACTTTGATGCTGTTGTTCACATGTAGTGACCTTGAGTTTAAGCCCAGGACAGCTTAAGCGTTTCCAGGAAAGAAAGTGCCTCAACAACAGAGTAATAAAATGGTAAGGAAGTCCACATCATGTGCTGAGTTCTGAACGTCTGCTCGAGGAGTGAGCTAATGTGCAATGTGACGAAGTAGGAAGCTGCTAACGAGAGACAAGCACCAAACTGGATTGTTCCTGGGGATTCCCAGGTGCCTATCAGATGAAAAAATAATTGCAGCAGGGAAAATGCAAAAAAAAATTACAAAAAAGAAGAATATTCTTATGATCTCTTGGTTGTGTAACAGTCTCCATAGCCTCATCTTGAGTCACTTTTCCAAAACTTTGTCAAGTCAATTGTAAATACACCTCCTGAAAAAACAGAATTGCACTGGCAGGGAGAAAGATGTTGTGATCCAAAGGGTCTTTTCTATCTCTAATTACCATGACCTCAGCTGGACATGCCCAAATTCTTTTAGAGATGAATGTGTGTTAACACTTCCATGAGGACATGGGCCCCTGGGGAAGGTGAATGTGTAATTGCTCCAGCAAAGAAACATCATCTAACTAGTCAGGAATGAAAAGTTATTGTACACTGAGCCAGTATTAGACCAGTTGAGAAATTCCTTGTATTATTTTTTTTCCTTTATCATCAACAATTTCCTGATGTGATCCATTTCAACTAGGCTTTCTATACCTCTTAGCAAAGAATCTCCCAGATTTCAAATATTTTTAAATTTCAGAGGAACAGTTTAATTCAGCAGTATATTTTATAATTTTTTTTTTAATTCTATCATTATCAGATAAGCAAAATTTTGTTTTGGGAAGAAATGGCAACGTGTTTCAGATAGTCTCTTCACTGAGTATGCCTCCTCTCTAAAAATCAGTGACTATAGTAATAACTAGAAATGCCTGTACTGCTATTGTTAACACTACCTGAATGAAAAAGAACTTTTCAGGAAACTTTATAAATATTTATATGCTGGAAAGTTTTTAACTAAAAAAAACGCAGGTTTTAGAAAAAAACTTTTTTGTTAAGTTTTAAAATAAGAAAGATTTCCTTTTAAATTGTTACAAATTTTTTCAGCAACATTATAGGCAAGTTTTTTATTTATCTTTCTATTCAACAGTACATTAAAGTGTCATAAGAGATTTTAAAAAATAACAGTAAATGTCAATCATATCCATCTATTTCCTGTGAGGGAAAAGGAAATACCAACATTTTAATGTTGTTTTATTTTAATAAAAAGAAGCACAACTGGTCTGTTTTGATAGCAAGTCCTGAGAACTTATCAGAACAAATGTTACTAATGACTAAAGTGGTGATAGTTGACTGCAATTTAGATTCAGCATTCCCAGAAGAGCTTATTGCATAATCAATTTGAACCTCCATGGTTAAACCAAATCAAAGGATTAACATAAAAATCAGCACAGGAGCATATAACCATGCCAGACGTAGACACACTTCACCTCTGCTTTCAGTTTTTGAGGCAAAGACCTGGGAATAACACTGAGAGTGGAGCTATTGAGAAAACTGGGGAGGCCTCAGCGTGACATGGAGCAGCAGCATGGAGCAGGGTGCCCTCTAAGTCTGAAATCAGGGAAAGATGTTGTACTTTAGGGCCTTTCTCACCCCAAAAGCTGCCCACCACAACTGATGTAGCACTAGTTTAAAACTTGTTGAGACTGAGAAGATTGGAAAAGCACATACATGTGGACATATGGCTTTTCATATCAGTTTTGTTAGTGCTAAAGATAAATATTTGAAGAGAAAAACACTTTTAAAATTTTCTTTGCTAAAACAATAAAGGAAAAATCTCCTGCTTCTTGCTCCACAGTGATGTGACTTAGTTTGGTCACTAAAAGCATTCAAATTGCCTTAAGGGCTATGATGGGAAAAGGCTACATTTAAAATATGGTTTGAAAGAGGCATGAACTGCTACCCAATCTCTGAGAGAAGTGGAGATCTTTTTATCATCATCATCATCATCATCATCATCATCATTACTTTGTTATTGTCTTGAGATTAGCCTTAAAAACAAGAGCTATTTTTGAAACTGAAACATGGGTGAAAAATTCTTGGGTACTGAGCCAAGGTTTCCTAGGGCACTGTTCCTTAGCTGGGTTTTTAAACATTGTAGAAAACAACTTCAAAAAGTTTATTGTTTTTAAATTTTTTTTTTTTTTTTTTTTTTTTTTTTTTTTTTTTTTTTTTTTTAGGTTATAGACATAGTACAATGTTCCTTGACAAGGCTAAACCAGCCCTGGAGATGCTCAAATGCAGCTGGAGGCAGTCAGGGCACCCCCTGCTCCAGCACTGGGGGCTGCTCACCTTTAGGGCACTCAGGGGAGACACAGCCATGCCAGAGGAAGCTGTTTCTGTGCCTCAGAAATCCCCTTGTCCTCCAGGTAGGTGAAAGGGCTGCAGTCAGAAACTTGGTTAATCATGCTCTGTTAGGGTCACTAATTAGCAGGGACATTAACCCCACACGTGGAGCCCAGCTAGGACTGCAGTAAATGGGGAAAAACTGCTCCTTTCCTCCCTACAGACTGGCTTTCCTTAAGAGCAATGCTCTTCTAGAATGCAGCTTGGCTGTGTTTGTTAAAAATACCAGACTGCATGGACTGCACATACAGATCCCTATCAGCAAGGAACTTGAGTGTGTGCCCCATCTTTAACTTGTTAAAAACAACCTGTGTGCAGCTGCATGTGCATTTATCCATCTTGCTGAATTGGAAAGGGTAAGACCTACAAGAGACTGCTACAATATAAATCAGGTATATATTGCTCCATTTTCTCAAGTAGGAATGTGCTGTTAAAACTTGGAATACCAGTTTAATTAATGTAAGATGAAAGAAATGTTTTTCCATGTTGTTAATGTTGAAAATTCTCATTGATTAAAAATAAATATATTACAATTGACATTTTTTCCTGAGGTAGTTAAGGAAAGAAGAACTTTTCCTGTCAGCAAAGTGTGATTTTTAGGCAGCCATTACTTGGTGGAGAGGAGATAGTGGGTACCTGTTTCCAAAAATGTGACAGCTTCACTGTGTCCTCAACTAAGATAATTGATTAAATGCATATTGGATTAAGAATTACATTCTAGGAGGATCCTGTCAACTGTACAAATGCCTTACAGTATTATCATGTGAGAGCTGCAAGATGGTTTGGCAATGAATTCCTAAAAAAGGATTATTTACTGTTTTCCTCTCAAAACTGAGTTCTTAAAAAAAAATAAAAAGGCAGAATCAAAGAAAACTTGGCACCTGCCCAGCTGTATGTTGGAAATAACTTATGAATTAGCACTTTGTAAAGTACAAACTCAGCCTGTGTTTTGGAAGGGTTTTCTGCGTTGCCCTTTGTTTGTCACTGGGCTGCTCTGCACCTGTTTCATACTGTACATATTTGGAATTTTTCTGTATTCTTCATCATTTCAAAGACAGGAACATAAACAGCTTAGCTTTTCCTGAGATGACTGTGTGTGTGTGTGTGTGTGTGTGTGTGTGTGTGTGTGTGTGTGTGTATATGCATCACTGAAACTTCCTAGACTCAAATGCTGTTTTCTCTTGCCAGACTCGCCTATGGGTCTTCCTGAACAGCAGGCACTTTTTCAATAGCGACTTGGAGATACTGAGGGAGAATAGAAGGTCATTTTCTAAGACAGGATGCCAAGAGGACAGGAATTGAATGGTGCTGGCTGGCCACTAGACGCCATGAAAATCAAGAATGCAGCGTGGTCCCCAGGGAAATAGCTCATGAGCCTGGAGAATATGATAAACCTGCAACCAAAGCCTTCTTAGGCAAGTGCGATAACAATGTGTCACATTCCAGAGGAGTCAAAAACAAAGGTTGCAAAAGTCCTTGCAAAGCAGCACTCCCTCAAGACAACTGTGCTTTCAAGGAAAAGGAAAGATTTGGCAGGTTCTGTCACTTCTGGCTATTTTCTGAAAACAACACCGAACGGTTTAGGATTAGTCTGTCTTGAAGCCTCTGTGTAAGTGACAGCAGAAAAGAGATGTAAGAATCTCTAACCTTTAAGAGGTTAAAAAATTGATATGCATATGCAGCCACACACTGAAAAGAAAGTAAATGCCACAATAAGGAGGTGGTAAACAGATATTTCCACAGTACATTACAAATAATTACCTGTTTTAATATAGTGTTAGCCATCGGCTAGACTAAGCCATCTCTTTAATTGCTTTCTTACCTTTCTCACTTGCATATTGCTCTGCTTTCATAAATAAGTAGTCACTTCATTGTTGCTGATAAAATGAGAGTAAACAGTTCAAGATATGTACTCCTTCTGTTTGCCACTGTTCAGGGACGAGTTTGTGCAAACAGATCATGAAATAACTGCACAGAGGAGATGTTATTTACTATTAATTACTGATGTTGGCTGACTGGCCAAGTCCCATGATCTGTGGAAGAGGGAAACAAGGAATGGGAGACCAAATAAATCACCCTTGCTAAGGTGACAGACAAAATCCTGATGTGTGTATGAAGCACAAAATTCCACAAATAGAGCATAACTTATGGTGTCCTGAGAATCAAGGAAGGAAAGATCAAGTGTGCCCCAGAATTCAGAAAGTAACTACACTGTTCTTTAGTGAATCAGATCAAGCTTACTGCCTCACCCTGCTTTCAAGTTTGAGGTTTGCTGCTCCTCTTTCAGATCTGAAGGTTATCTGAGCTCATATGCTCCTCTGTTCCAGATATTCCTGCCAATAGCAGTACAAACAACACAGATCTTTGTGGTGTTGCTTCATAAAAATTCTTTGATATCATCAAAGATCCCTTCTCCCTAGCAGAGTATCACAGTGCACCTCACAACACACCACTTCAGCAGCAGGATAAAGGCATTTGTGCCAAGCTCTAGAGCCAGAGATGATTAGCTGAATTGCAAAGAAAAAAAAAAAGTAGAAAACCTGGAAGAAAAAAAGAAAAAAAATAGCAAAACTGAAGGCTTGAAAGACTGCCAAGATCACAGCTGAGCTGTCTGTAGCAAGGCCGTGTTTTTCACGTGGATCCCCAAAAGCTGTTAAGTCAGGCTAAGGTAGGCACTGACTCCTTACTCTCTAAAGCACACAGCATTCACACATAGGTGAACATGAAACACACATCCACAGCTACATCAGAAAACAACAACAAAGAGAGCCTCTAGAACAGGATCTGCTGTGCACGAGTGTAACACCATACAGCCAGGAAACCAGCAGTGCTCAAAACCAGGTAGATGTCCTGTACAATGACTTCCATTTCTGGCACTGTTTCTTATGGCATTTTTCTGCCTGTCTTACTGTTTATGTAGTGCTCTATTTTCTGACTACAGTTACATGACAACCTCTAACAGCCCTCAGAAGGAACTGTTTGAACCACCATATTTTAAAAAATTAAATAAAGGCTAGCAAGTTACCAGTCATTCGTATCTTGCAAGGACCAAAAATCATCCTCAAGCACTCCAGAAGCTTCTAACTAAGAATAGAGAAAGTGTCAGCTGGAGCATAGGCAGTGCTAATAAGCTCTTTAACAAGTGCAATTTGCCTTCATAACTGTCTTGTAACTGAAGAAAATTCAAAGGTTGCCATTAATTTTACTTTCTCTTCCCAGAAGTGCATTAAAGACAATCAGCTTCACTGGTAATCCACACACTGAAAAAGCTTTCCCTTTCCCCGCTGCCCCCATCTGTGCCTCTGAGGAAACACAGAGCCTTAGAAATTAAGTTTCTAAGAAAGTTGCAATGTCAGTCCTTCACTTTCACAGACCTCCCCTCCCTCCCAGATAATGTCTGCTGGCAGTAGTCTTCCCACTCTGGATAGACAGAAAAAGTTATCCATCAACTGGCCAGAGCATTACAGGGGTTTGGGAAGCCAGGACATATTGTTTCTGCAGCTACAGAGAAAACCATCTTTGTGAGTACCTGAGCTGTGCAACAATCACAGGTTTCCTTTGCTCCATCTCTTCGCTATCCTGGGCAGTTATCCACTTTTCCAACAAAGATCAAATCTCCAGGTGATATTATCTCTCAAAGTCTCACACATACCAGAGATGAGTATGAATCTCAGGTTGGGATTTGTAGCCTGAATTTTCCCCATTGCTATAAATTGCTCACATTTAATCTTCCAGTTTAGGGTCACCTGCAGGGATTAATACATTTGGGAAAAACAAGAATACAAATTAGAACAGTGATTCAAAGCCTGCCAACTAAAAATAGATCAGTTTTCTATGCAGATATCACTTATAGCTGAACATATGTATTCATCACAAATCTATATAAATCCTGGCTCTTATTTTCTGTTTCCTCATACTTAAAACCTCCTACACAATTATTTCCTATATGATTCTTTCCTTCCTACCCACCCCAGCCACTGCCCTTCCTGGTAGTGCGCCAGTTCTGTTATTGTTCAAAGGTGAAAAACAAGACCTATCCCAGGAACTCACTCTGGCAAAGCTTAACCCAAAATGATTAATTTAAGAAGAGGAAAACAGCCCAGTGCAGGGGCCTCTGAGCAGGGCTGGTAGTGCTGATATGGCACAGAGAGCCACGTGCACGGCTCCGCTGTCCATTGCTTCACAGTGGCAGAGGGGACAGTCCTGCAAGGACAGAAAGCCCATCATACTCAAGGAGGCCACAAGTTACATTTAGCAGTAGCTTCCCAGCAAAGTAATAATGAGGTTGCCATGAGGATGATCTGGGGTTTGAGAATGAAATGGGGGGTGAGCCATTAAGTTGTGCAGAGAAGCAGTGCTTCCCTCCCACGTAGCTGGAACGCAGAGCTAATGATTTTATCCATTTATACCTTTTGTGGAACATTTTTATCCATTTATACCATTTGTGGAACAATTTGACTTGGCATCTGTGTTGCCCAGGGGCAATCTACAGCTTCTGCAAAGCCACCTACAAAATTAAGCTGAATAATGAAGTTCTGAATATTTGTACCAACTCTCTGAATATTTGTACCTGCTCTCCCAAGGATTACTGGCATTCCATAAAATTTCACTGTTGAAATTTCACACTTCTCTTTCCAGTTTACAAGATCAATTCCCTGTACTTTGCTTTATTGTATTAGTTTTTTTTCTTACTGAGAAAATAACCAGCCACTATATGGAAATGAATTAGCCTTCATTCAAAACATGTTTTGCAAAAGGTTTGATTTCATTCAGTGCCAACCAGAAGACAGACAGTGATCTTATTTATGAGGTCTGGATCTATTGTCCAGGTGTAATTAGCTGATTATTACACTTCCCATTACTGTTATTGTAGATCCTTAGTTCTTTATGTAACCTGATGTTCTTTGATGTTTTTCAGAGCAAGCAAAAGACATTTCTAATTGTTCTAATTGGTCAGGAAATTAAAACTGCCAATATTTTTTTAGCTAATTAGAGTGAAATACTTTGTTTGTTACTCCCAGAACTGACCTGTAACATCTTTGTTGCTTTCTGTCTAAATCACCAACTGCTCGTTTGCTTCCTTTCACCATCCTACATCACTCACCAACTTTTTCCACAGGACATTTCCTCTCACCAGTTATTCATTTGCCCATAACAAAATATATCCTAATGGACGCATTGAGCTTTTTTTCCCTCCAGATATGACATAACAGACTGCTGTTGACAGCAGAAGTCACTTCTGCAGGAATAGAGGTTGCTGCTTCACGTAGGAGAAGAGGAGTAGGGGTGTGCAACAGGGTGTGCACTGCAGGCAGGGTAGGTGGCATGGTGATCAGCTGCTACTTCATGTTCACTGTGTTCTTTAAATAAGAAAAGAAAAAAGGAAAAAGTTTTAGGGCTTTGTCACTGCTGCTTTAGCCAGTAATTAGTGCAATCACTTTTTGTAAGTCGTAAGGGTCTTTAGATAGCTGTCAGCACCATACAGGACCCATCAATTAAGTCTTTCACATGACACATGAGTTTTAGAGGCCTGTTTTAACAGCACTTGTCTACACCTGATCTAGGCTAACCACTCCCATGTAACTTTCTGTAGACCCTCTTCCTTCAGAATTAATTACTTTTCCACCTAAACTTCATAATGTGAAAGTCATCCATAGGAAGCCAGGCCCTACACATCTTACCTTGCAAGCCTCTGGTTTTTGAAGTGTTTTGAGATTGTGCCTATCCATAGGCAATTTGTTTCTGTAGCCATTGCAGCTGGTACACCTCATCATTTTTGAGATCTAGAACTGCTGTCACAAGGCTAAGCATTTAAAACTAAATTGACCCCTTCTTCTGACATTGGGTTGATACCCCTGTGAAGTGTGCTGCAATGAAGAATCATGAGTGAAATGCATTCCCTAATGTATGGTTTGCTTTTACTGCTGCTTCAGTGAAACACGGAGCACTTACTTACAAAGGTCAGTGGCATGAAACATCTATCAAAAGTTTTTCTATGAAAATAAATCAAAACATGCTTAAAATAACAGTATTTCTCCTAAAGGGCTGACAAATACTACTTGGTACTGAGACAGGGAGCACTCTCTCTACCCATCAATCAAGATGCCACAGAAAAAAGCAACAGGACTTCTTCACATTCTCATTCTCTACACCTTCACCACTTCTCTCGTGATATCATTGCTGCAGGAAAATGATGAACACTTCTTACAGGAAGAAAGCTGTTCTACTGCCAAGCCTGTTCATTACATGTCATCCTTCAGACTGTACTAATAGCTTGTTCTGGTGGCATTTGCAATATGAACAGCCATCTGCAAAGCCTAAAATCATCAATATACTCTTAAATATATCCTGCATAATCAAAAAGTTTTGAAATATCCATGTCTGGGTTTGGGGTTTTGTTTGTTTAGGGTTTTAGGCATTATTTGTTTGCTCGCTGTTGTTTTTTTTTTATTATTTGGTTTGGTTTCTTTTTATTCTAAGTGTCTTTTGGCTTAGAAAAAAAGATATAAGAGATTTTAAGATATGCATATCTACAAAAGTAAATTTAAAACCCTGTACATGTGCTAACTAAAGCTGTGGTAGTGCTCATTGAGATAAGGATTATTGCTAACTTAAGCTGTTATCCAAGAATTGCCATTTTCTAAAATAACTCCGGGTCTCAGAATAAAAGATTGTACTACACCAGTACATCTTTCCCCTTTTCTTCACTCTAGTTGCAACACTAAGTCCTCATGGCAGGAAAGCAAATGAACAACAATATTCTGTAAGATAGACACATTTGCAATAATATTGCTCATCCTCAGCTTGAAATTCCTTATTGCTCCCTGGCAGATTGCCTTTCCTAGAGCACCACAGAACAAGAAGGAGAGGAGATTTTACTGTTGTGCACCCATATGTTTCCCCTCATTCCTAAAATCCAAGGCACATTCTCTGTACTGGTGTCCTTTTGTCTGGCATAAGTCAGTTACTTCTTTCCTATTATATAACTAAATGAGTCATAAATGCATAGAGTCAGACAGATGCTGCATGTCCTTAAAGCACCTGGAAAAATTACTCAGGGGTATCTCGGGAAAAAACAGTAATTTTTCTTGCCCTTAATATAATGGTGGGATTTTTCTTTTCATTAATTTTAAAAATATATTTCTAAAAGATAGTTATAAGCTGCATAAGTTCTATCTCAAGCTGCATGAACATGAAGTTCTCTTTTCCACAGCTCATTTAAGGAATCCAGCCAAAATAAACCTAGGTGGAAAGGAATATCTGACAGTACTTATACATAGCATCATATTTGTAATATCTACTATCCCAAGCAGTTCAAGTAAAATAATTTTGAATATTTTGCAGCAAGCTTTATTAGAACTGGGGATGGAGGGGAGAGTAATGCAGGAGCATGCTAAGGCAGTTGCAATTTCACATCAGAACATAAATGAAAACATTAAAAAAATGTGTCACCTTAAATAAAACAGAGCATGTCAGAGAGAAGTCTCCGGAAGTATTAGAAGCTCTTTGAAAGAAAAAGAGGCATATAGTCAGCATGTGTGCTGGCAAACATACAACATGTATATGACCCAGCAGACTACTGAAACTTAGAAATCCTTTAAGTGCTCTGTTAAGAGCAGCTGAGTATTATTGTGTGTGATGCAGGACTGAATTACTCCTTCACCCCAGCTTGTGTTGCTCTAATAAATGTATGTACGTATGAGACAGGGCATACATAGAGGATTATTGCTTTGTATCAAAACATCTCAGCTGACTATGACAATGAAAAAAATGGATCCCGTATTTTTTCTTAATCTCATGCTCACTGTAAGGAGTGAGTTACTGGAGGCCAGGGGGACCAGTAGGGAGCAGGAACCAGTGCAGATAGGTAGCCTTTTAGAAGAATCCTGCTGCAAAAACCACATCAAGAACCTGTGAAAGAGAAGGCAAGAGAGTAGCAGCTGTTAGTGAGCAGGAACTATTGAGAAAGAAGCTAGCCTTAAAGCTACTCACACCTGGAATTTATGGCAGGCTACCACTAACCACTGCCTACACACAACTCCCTGTACTGTTTACACAACAGCAGAAACTGTGCAGGCAGTGGGGAGATTTCACAGAATATTCACTGCCACAGAAAGGAGCACCTAAAATTTATACCATATTTGGATTTTGTTGTTCACTTTGTTTTCATTTTGGTTTTCACTACAGACTAACAATAAGCATTATGACACTCCACCCTGTCCCCCCAAACGGTGGATGCTCTGGTGTTGAGCTCTCAGCATTTATTTTTATATAACCATAGGAGCCAAGCAATTCAACTGTGCCCCCATTAAATTACATGATGTGAAACTGAGCCTGGAAAGGGAAATCTCCTGGCAAATACAGAAGAGAAGCTGGAAAGATCAATTGATATAACCTGGTTGTGATCCATCTGTTATTCATAGGAAGCAATTGGGTAGGAATTGTTGCAATCACTAATACTTTCACACAGGTGCAGCACCATCTGCTTCTGCTCTTTTTGGCATGGGGCTATTAGATGTTCAGTCCTAGCTCCCTGATTTAGGTATA